GGGGGGGGGGGGGGGGGGGGGGGGGGGGGGGGGGGGGAGAGAGGACGCACGGTGGGCCTGGAACGCGCGCGGTCGGTTCGAAGAGGACGGAGAAAGAAGCTGCAACCGTTCTTTCGCCGCCCAGTCCTCTCGCGCGTCGAATCGAATCGAGTTTCCGCGGAACGTTAATTTCTTCGGTCGATCGCTCGCGACACCGGTAGATTTTCTCTCGCGCTTTGCCAACCACTGGAAACCCGTTACCAAGTATTTTACGTTTTCTCGAGCGATCGACGAAGATTTCTCGCGATCGGAGAAAACGCGATATAAAATTTACAGGACCGCGCGCTTCTTACGCCACGGCGCGGCGCAACGAGGTTTCGACGTCGGATCGAGTCGCGTCGGTTGGTTTCGCGTCGCGTCCGTCGGCTGCGAGCGCATCGGCGTTCTCCGACGACGCGTAAACTCGACGCCGGTACCGAGATCGCAAGGATATTTACGTGAGCGCTGGTCGAATTTTGATCCTGCGAAAGAGACACCGTCCCAGCTCGAGCCAAGCCGGTCGGCGACAGGTTCGCTGGGCTGCTCGTTCGAGGACTCTGGAATATACCCGGCGATACGACCATTTCAGAAATCAAATAATCCGTATCGATGCTCGAATAACAACTACCTACCCTATTGGCTTTCGCACCGCGCGTGCACGCGAACGAGAGACGCTGCTCTCGAGACTTTACCTGTGCCAGCGTGCGCGGATAGACGGGGAGGGGAAGACGAGACGAGACGAGGCGAGACAAGGCCGTCGAAAACCGACAAAGACCGACAAAAACAGAAACTGGGAGAAAGAGAAAGAAAGAGAGAGAGAGAGAGAGACAGAGAGAGACAGAGAGAGAGAGAGAGAGAGAGAGAGAGAGAGAGAGAGAGGTATACTATAAAAGCGAGTCGCAAAGAGAGAAAGAGCGACAAGGGTATAGCGAATGGCCGATCGATCGGTGGAGCGAATATCGCATATTTTCACGCGTGCCGGGCTCGACTCGACTCGACTCGACTCGCGACGCGAATTACGCGGTCGAAAGGCAAGGCGAAGCGAGACCGCGTTGAAACGCGTTACGACGTTCCATCGAATAATCCTTTGTCTCCGGTTTTGAGATTCGAAAATCGAAGTCGGCGTCGAAACGGTTTACGAAACCGATGACTCGTTGTCCGAGGTATTTATACTAGAAGCAAAAAAACCAAGTATCGATCGTTGCCGTACTTTCGAATCGTTGGCAACCTAAATATCCCGGAGTTTCCTATGAATCATCGCTCGGTCAGCCTCCGAACCGAGAAACGGTTTTCCGCGCGGCGCGCGACGGAAGCTTCCTCGCGCGCCTCTCGACGATTCGAAAGACCGGTGTGGACGCGAATTGGAAAGGCGAAGGCGAAGACGAGTCGTCGAGAAACCTGCGCGACCTCGCGTCCAAACGACTCGGGCATCGGGTCGACGCGTACGGAGCGTCCGGATCCGTCTTTATCGGTCTCGTCGATTTTAACCGGCTTCGAACTTTCGCGCGCGAACGTTCGCGATCGAACGAGGAAATTTCGGGTTACAAGGTCTCGCGGAAACCTGTTTTCGATATTCTATGCTCGGCGGTAGCCCGACGAACGTTACCGGATCGTTTCTAGAAAGCGAGTGGGAGAAAAAGAGAGAGAGAGAGAGGGGGGGTGGGAAGAGAGCGAGGAGAGGAACGCGCGGATCGCGAAACGATCGGCCAGACTCACGTTGCTAAACGGCGTATTGCTCGAGTGATCCTCCTGGTCCAACGGGGTGTGAAGAGGCGACGTGAAGTTGACGTTGCTCAGGTCCGGCAACGATCCCGTGTTGTTTCCTATGGGGATTTGCTGTCCAGGCGGCTGGGAACTCGGGTATATGCTGCGGGCAAAACGAGGAAATTCGTTTAACGGTTCGGCCGCTCGCGCGACATCGAGGCAAAATATCCCGACGAAGAACGCGAACAGAATTTTCTAACGAGCGATTCGAATCGGACACTTCCCTTCTGGATATTCGCGCGTCGGCGCGAACGTCGACGATTAAAACATAAATTATCTTCTCGCGAAAGCGTCTCCGATCGCTTCGGCCACGAACGACGCGTCGTCGGATTTTACAAAATCTTTCGATTATCTTTCGGAAATTATAGCTTTTTAGCAAACCGCGTCGATCGACTTTGGGTTTCTCGCCGAAAAAACGCGACCGTTTTCGGTCGCCGCTAAAGAAGCCGAAACGGACTCCGTCGTATCGTCGTCGTCGACGAATCTCCGCGCAAATATCCGCGGTGTACCGGCGAGCCGTTACGTTTTCGAGAGACCGAAATACGCGATTCGGAGTTTAACGATCGATCGATCGTTCGCGGCTGCGGCCCGGGAACCGAGAGCAGAGAACGGAGGACGGAGGACGGAGGACGGAGGACGGAGGACGGAGAACAGCGGACGGAGGACAGAGGACGGAGAACAGGGGACGGAGGACAGAGGCCGGACGGCGTCCATTCTAACCGGGCGTCTAAATAATGCATGATAATGCGCGAAGGCTCGCGACAATGGAACAAGTGGTACCATCGGATACGAGAGAACACGAAGGAGGGGGGAATGGTCGACGATTCCGGGAGAATCGCGAAATTTCCGCGCTGCTCTCGACGAACGTCTCGAGTTCCAGCAGATCGCGTTCTTCCTGTCCAGGCGAGAAAGGTGAACACTCACTTGATCCCGGGTACTCTGGGCATCTCGCAGGACGATCTCGGTCGTTGCATGAATCCGTGGTGCAGGTCTGGGTTGTCGCCCCCGGATCCGCTCATCGTGTGCTGATCTGTACGGCAAACGAAGCAACAAAGAACACCGTGAAATCGTTTTACGTCGAAACTTTCGACGTTGTTTCGATCGCGCTATCCGTTGCCGCACCCGCCGGTCGACTTCTTTTTCGCGTTGCGCGACGTTCGATCGTTTTCGGAGATTTTACACGGTCGGTGGAACAGCGATTCGTTTCGAACGGCTCGAATGTCGAGGCGCGCGTGGCATAGTTTCGCGGCAGCCGCGCGTTCGCGGACGCGATTTATCGGCGCCGCGAGACGCGGCGCGCGCGGATCTCGAGCATACGAGCCGAGTCGGGGCGTCCGATTTCGCGACGGCAACGCGACACCGTGTAACGCTGCTCGGTTGCGTTGCTGCGGGTATAACGTTTCGGTTCGGATCCCCTCGTGTCGCCGGCCGGTGTCCGGATCGAGAGGGAATCGTCGGAAGCGCGAGCGCCGTATCCCGACCGCCGACCGCCTATTCCCGAGCGACCGGAATCGGAAAACCCGCCCGATCGGGGTCGACGACCGGTTCCGAATCGCACACGGATTTCCGCGATTCCGACGCGCGAACACGAAAACGATCGTTCGACGACGATCGGCGAAAAGGTCTACGATTTTGGAAGAACGTCGAGCGCGGGTTGCGACGGGTTTCGAGCGGAAGCAAGGAAAATTATTGAATCTTTTTCCGGATTAGCCATGGAATAATATATTTGCAGCGGAATTAATTTCCATCTTGGAGAGCGAGAGGGAGAGAGAGAGAGAGAGAGAGAGAGAGAGAGAAGGCGAGGTCCGACCTTCGACCCCGAACGAGACGAACGAGTTACCTCGCCGATGGGATATGGCGGTAGCCGACTGGCAGGCTTCGTTCGCGCTCTGATGCAGGGCCGAGTCCGAGTACGTTCTCCTCCAGGTGGTGTCCGGCGTTGGTGGAGACAGATAGGAGACGCCGCTGTACGGCGAGGTGTCGTGCCTCTTCTCCATCGGACGCGCCCGCATCGGGCCTACTCCCATGTTTTTGCTCCTGTCGTTGTTGCGGTACACCATGTTTTGCTGCATCTCCTCCAGATTGCTCAGCGCCGTCTGAAATCAACAGTCGCGCGATCAATCCCGAGCATTCGTTTCGCGCTTTCCGGTGTCGCGGTGCCGCGACGCGCTCGATCGTCGCCTACTATTTCTTCGCGGGCCGTCGGCCCGTCTTCGATCTCTCAGCGCGCGCCTCAACGGCGACGGCTGGAACCGGACGATAGGAAAAACGGGGTCGGTTTTGGTCGGAAAAACTGCGCGGTTCTGACGCAGTTGCGCACGCCAAAATAACGTCCGATCGAGCGACGAGCGATTTTCTCCTTTCGCGAAACGAACGATCTACCGCGTATAGCGTACGCGTTGCGCGAACGCCAAAATTAAAAAGCCATCGGAGGGTGAATCGTGTACCCCGTATACCGTGTACCGTGTACCGCGTACCGCGTACCGTGTACCGCGTACCGTGTACCGCGTACCGTGTACCGTGTACGCAACAGATACGTCCGTCTCGGATCGTTATCGTAATTCCGAGGTATAATTTGCGAACGAACACCGGGTAATCTCGTCGGAGATATCCAGGATATTGTTGCAATCCAAATTGCTGGGAAGACTTCCTGTCTCTCGATTGGTAGCGTGCACAAACTTCGTCGGAACCAACGTCGCAGAACGTGACAGAACTTATTCGCGAACGAGTTACATCCTCGAACGCGTTCCACCCGCTTCTCGATCGTTTATTTCGATCGCGCGAAGCGGCCGGATACCTCGCCGAACGTTCGGTACTTTGCATCGCGCGCGACCCTCCAAAAGCTACCGGCCGATACACGTTCGCTGTAATCTGAAACTCGCGAACGCGGACCATCGACTCGAATAAATTGTCCGAGGCTCGTTTCTACGGATTTCGCATCGTACGCGCATCGATCGACGAATCTCGGTTGGCCGCTGCGCCCCGCGTCCTCCGTGTCACCCGTGTATCGTGAGAATTCGAAAATCGCGAGATCCCGGACCGATCGACGCGGAAAGCGCGCGGAAGGCGTCTGCGAGATAATTCGAGGCTTCCTCGCGGGGCCGGGCTTCGCGATCGCGTATAATATCAGGCTGGTCCGCGGTAATCCTCGATCCCCGCAATCGTATTAGATAACGTCGGATCGAGCACGGATTCGGCCCGACTCGGCTCGGCTCGGCAGCGAATCTCTCGTACACGCTCGACTAATTTTCGGTCGTCGCGAGAGCTGCGAGAGAGAGAGAGAGAGAGAGAGAGGCGCGCTCCGTTCGAGTACGAAAGGCGAGAGAGAGAGACGCCGCGCGATCGATGACGATACTATAATTAAAGTATCCTTCGACGTTTCGTTCGGAAACAAGGCGCGCGGAGGAGCGTCGCGTCCCGTCGCGTCCGTCGCGTCGACGACAGGCGCCTCTCCTTCCTCGACGACGCGCGACGCTCGCAGAGCGACTCGGAATGAGAATACGCGATTTATAGCGCATCGAGATAAAAACGAAGCGGCCGTGAACGTGGACGCGGAACCGCCGCGAGCGTCGCTTCCAATAGCCGCTACCGATAGCTCGCGGACGTTTATTCGTGGCTCGTAGGTTCGAGTTTGACCCGGGACCGGCCCGATCCAATCGCCCGACTCAAATTTCCGGTCGGACGAGTTCCTCGCGTATTCCGGCAAAGCCGAATTATTTTCGAGAGCGTCGCGATACCCCGTTGTCATCGATACCGAGCTCGCGACGCTTCCAGCGCTTCCGTAACGTTCGGCAACGTCCGTTGAAAACGAGCCTACGCAGGGAATGCAACTTGTCAAAATTGTCGCATCGAATTCGTCGGTTGAACGCGTTCGCCGTCGGCGTCGCGATCGCGCGATCGAATAACGGCGAGTCATCGGCCGATGGGCTCCGTTCGCGGGAGATAAACAACCGGTGGGTGGAGGCGGAGAGGGTGGTGGAAGTTCGCGATCCGTTATCGATGAAAATCGTTGGACGTCGCGCGAGTCCAGAAGCCGTCGAGACGGAGCGTCGACAGAAGCGTCGTCGCGTCGTCGCGCCGTTTCCGAACGCGAGGGGACGAGACGCGACGAGGCAAGAGCCGACGCGTTTTATTAATTATAACACCGAACATCGCCGCGCGGCGCAAGGTTCAAGGAAAACCGCATTCCCCGCGCGGCGCGATCCTATTTGTAAACGACAAACGACAAACGGCGAACGACACGGGACGAGCGGACGACCGTGCGCGAGCGTGTCCGCGAATAATTTTCTTCGAAAGATCGCGTTCGTCGGACGTCCGAAATGCCTCCGATTATTATTCGTAAGCGGTTTTGGGCCGTTGATCTCGCGCGAGTTCCAAGACGCGACGCGTTTCGAACAGAGACGATTTCGATCGGACGATAAAACACGGATCGGACTTCTCGGTCTCGGTCTCGGTCTCGGTCTCGATCCGGCATAGCAGCGACGCGACAGCGGCATTCCGCTTCGCGATTCGCGCGCGAGCCTCGTGGAAATCTCGCGAGACGGCGCTGCGTCTTCGCGCGAATAAAGCGCGCGTAAACTCGATCGTCGCGATTTGGCAGCGAGTCGCGGAATCTCTGCGTCGAGCCAACGGCAACCGGACGGCAGAGACCGAGAGTCGCGAGTCGCGAGTCGCGCGGGGAGTCGACGGGAGAATCGGACGATCGAATCTGAATCGCGATCGCGTTGTCCTCCGATGGTCGCGTCGACTCCCTTTTATACCGGTTGGCGCCAAGTGTAAATTTCGCTTCTTTCGAATGGAAATCGGCAGCGCGAGGTGTACAGCGAAACGCGCGCTCTCCGAAATATTCCATCGAGAACGAACGTTTGAAAAGTTTTCGATTTTCTGCGCGAAACCGGTCGCGCCCCTCGCATTTCCTGCGGGATGCGAAGAAAGATCGCGAGAGAATTCGGGTACGATAGGAGCTACCGATAATTCACGGAATCCGAAAAACGAGGCGAGGCGAGGCGTCGCGACGCCACCCGTCGCGTCGCATCGCGCGTCGGTCGTTCGAGCGGCTAGTCTCGCGGTCGCGACGATCGGGCTTGCCCGTACCTTTCCAATTTTAGCATCGCAAGAATTGTATGGCATAACGATATATTTTTAGTCGGTACACAGAGCGGCGAGTACGCGGCTTCGAGTGTCGTCGGCGGTCCCAACCACGCTGTAAACACATGGGCCGGGTGCCGGGTGCCGGGAACCGATTCCATCGCGACACGTGCTCCAACCGCGAGTCGTCGGTGGCTCGGCTTCCCAAGGAAACACGCCTGGCGTTCTCGACGTAAACTATCGCAATATTCTAGTCGATGAAACCGTATTTCGCGTTTACAACGACCCTTCGAAGGAAATCGGAGAAATATCGAGCATAGAGAAACCCATGAGGTGGCGAATGTTTCGCAGGAACGTGTGCGCGTCGAATGCTCGGCGCGAGATCGAACGCGGAAAAACGCGCAGCAATTTTCGCACCACCGCGCCGTCGCGCGTCGCCCGCCACCCGTCGTCCCGTCGCCCGTCCAACAATAAGTCTAAACGAACGAATCGAGTTAGTCCGCGAAGGCAAGTTAATAAGCCGGTCGGCCGGTACGAACCGGTATGAACCGTGGGTTAAATCGTCTCATTCGTTGCTCGCAATTAGCGCGATTCCACGGTTGTCGCGCGATCGAGATCGAGATCTGCCGGGATTACAAGTTACGCCGGCCCGAAATCGTCGCGGCTCCTTTCGTCTCGACCGAGAAACGCTGCTCCTATTAGCGGGAGCTTTCCCTTCCGATAGGAAACTCGTCGTTCGTCTATAAATCGTCCAGCCGATGCAACGTTTTCCAGCGTAATCTCCATTAGGGAACGAGCACTGTCCTCGACGAGAAGCAAGCTTTCGTATCTAAGATTCGATCCTTCTTAGGATGTACGGCGATCCCCCCCGATATTTCTGGCCCGCTTCGTATCCCGCGTCGCGATCCCTTTTCTTTCCTCTCCTCTCCTCTCCTTCCTTACCATCCTTCGCCGTACACGAGCATTCTCCTCCGTTTCTCCGCATCGATCCGCATCGATCCGCTTCGATCGTATTTTGCACCGTCGTACGGCATCCAATTTCTTCGATCTTTTTCGAGCGAACGATCGAAATAAACGGAGTTCGAGGCAACGCGCGTGGGTCAGTTCGCGGTCACCCGGGAAGATCGGGTGCCGCTTTCGAGATTAACGACCGCCGAAAGCGAATCGTGGACGAGCGATTCTCGATCGAGGCGATCGAAGCTTCGATCGATCTCTGACTCGGGGCGAATCGACTCCTCGAAAGCAAGAGGATGCCGCGCCGGGTCGCGCGATGCCGCGTCGTCGCGTCGGATCGTTCGATAACCAACGTCCACGAAATATTGATTCGAGTAGCAGGAAAGTGCAGAGAGCGCGCGCGATGGTCCGCGACGAAAGAAATCGAGCAAACTGAAACGTGCTCGCGCGCTCCCCGGTTCGTTCGCCATCGGCGATCGAAGCGCGTCCGGTCGCGAGGTCGGGGAGCGAAGGGTCGAACTCGCGAATTCGCTATAGTCCCGATAAAGAGATCGACGCCGCGGTATCGCGATCTTCCGATACGCGAGGCCCCGTACGATCGAATCCGCGACGCCGGGAATAGCTCGCGTTTCGTTTTAAACCGCGCTCCACGGAAATAGTCTCGGCTCTCCGGTTCGTCGTACGGTCATTTTTTCGAAGTCGGGAGACGAGAGACGAGAGAAAGGGAAAGCGGGACCGACGCGCGGGGTTTCCCGTGGGAGAGACGGCCGCGAAACAGTCGGTCTTCGGTCTTCGGACGTCGGCGAAGAAATTTCGCGACCGTTCTCGGTTGCTGCTCGCCATGTGTCGTTCGAGCACGATTCGCACGGCTATTACCTAATATCTGTTGAATTATACGCAGTAAACAGGCAGCGTTTCTCCCACGGTTCGGTTCACGGACGACACCTCGTGGATCACCGCGTGGGAAATTCGCGGTTTCTCCGCGATCTCGCGTGCGCAGGAAAACGCGGACGCGACCCATCGATTCCGATGCGAAAAATTGATTTTCGGCTTC